GGTTATTAACCTGATTGGCCGGTGGCCCTCAGGTGGCCAGTTAGGGGCATGAGGTCACACAGGGGCATGCCGAAGGCGTGGTCTAACAGCTCACAAACCTAATCAATTTTAACCTCTAGCCTGTCTTCTTCAGGCTGGCCTGGGGTATTCCTGTCACCCCTGAGGTCCCATGCCTTCCCTCCTCTCTTGCCTGGAATGTTCTCTGCTCAGACACACACCCTGCCCTCAGATCCTAATACCGCACACATACAGCTTCCTCAGAGTAACTGTCACCTAGTTCCAGCCCCTTTGCCATTCTCATACCTCAATCTGTAAACATACATTTAATGATGGGGCCATCTGGCTCCCCTACTGTCCCCCCAGAACTGCAGGACCCTCAGCACTGGGATGGCGTCAACTTTAGCTCACTCGTGTGTCACCTGTACCCAGCGTAGTCTGGAACATAGTGAGAGCGCCACAGACAATGATTCAGTAAATTCACGAGTAAATGAATAAATGAAGAAGTCTGGCTTCCCCCACCCCAACCAGCCACGGCCACAGCCATGGACAACCTTCCTGGAACAGTGCAAGGGACTTGGGCATCAGGGGGCGACAGCCCAGGACTGGCTGCTCCACGGAACACCCAGGCAGGAAGAGCCATTCTGTGGCGGTGCTGTGAACAGCTGATTTCCCACGAAGAAGATTAATCTCCATGGTCACGGCAAAGCCTCTCTCCTGGCAAGCAGCTCTCGGAGGCTATTTTTGTTGTACATTCTAAACAATGAGCTCCAAAGAACTTTGCCTGCAGCATCCTTAATCCACAAATAGGAATCGAATGGAAGACACTGGGTTTTGAGGGAACCCCTTCTCTGTCCGTGCCCCTTCCGTTTATTTGAAATATTTTTTTTAAAAGGGAGAGCTCTTCATCACCACCTAATGTTCTTTTCTGCAGCTACAAAAGGCGGTTTACAGCAGGCTGAGAGATGGCTGACGTATGCCTTCCTGTTTACGGTGTTTACAGAAGGACAAACCCCAGGTTTCACAGGGCTGCAGCTGCCAGGTGCGTCACTGCTGGTGGAGGCGCTGGGCAATGCATGCAGTCCAGAGCTAGCGCATCTCTCTCCTGGCAATGGAGCAAAAGGCAGCAAGAAGCCGGGCTCCTGGGACACTTGGGGACGGCTGTCTGTGCATTCATATGTGGTCTCGCTCACTCTTGACCTCACCTCTGCTTCTTGCACAGTAATCCTGAGGTGCTGATCTGGCAATGGAGGAGGAGTCCTATTTGCACAGGGTGCGTGGCTAGGCAGAAGAGTATTTCCCTGCATCCATCTCCCCACAATGTCATGTCGTGATCTTCCAGCGACTTCCCGTGACACAGAGCAATCATCTGACAAATGCAACCCAGCCTGGCGGGGCCGGATATTATAGTTTATATGCTGTTCAGAACAGGTAATGGACCTGGTTGGATCTGCCTTCCCATCAGAACAAAATAAGAATAATTTCTAAGTTTTTAAAATTAGCTCCACACTTTTCATGAAGAAATAACAACACTAATTCCAAACTCCAGTGGGCAAAGAATTTGAAGTACAAATTAACTCTCAATTTGCCCAACTTATATATTATAAAGATCAAAAAATAAATCAATCAGAAAAGAAAGAAACTTAAAGCAAGGTCCATTCTTTGCCACAACTACTGCGAGAAAGACCACTGTCAGCAAAGCAATGAGACTGTCCGTGTTCCAGGAAATGTCTCCATGGCCCTAAAGGGACACACTCACGGTAACTGAGATTTCAGTCACATCCACGTAGGATCAGGCTCCTTGAAAAGAAAAAGAGGCTGCAGGCTGACGAGTGGCAGGCAAGGAGAAAGGCCTGACTACCTTGCGCGCTGTCTGGAGTCCAGGACCAAACACGATCAAGGGTGCTACACCGGCCTCTGTTACTGGATGAGGTCTGTGTGCACTCACTTCCCCCTCACTGCCTTCATCAGGAGAATGGGTCTCTTGCTGAAAGCCAGAATTTCTTGGGTGAAAAACGTATCTGCAAGGTTCGGTTGAGGCCAGGTGTTGGTTGTTTGGTATCTCAAGCTCAGAGAGATGAGCTAGCCCTTGAAGGGAATGACATTGACCTGGCTTCAAATTCAGCTGCATCGAAGCAGCAAGCCACAGTGATTAGCAACAAGGATGTCAGAGCATGTGGATGACATCTCTGGAGAAAGAACAGTTCAGCACACTGACAAATGGAAGCTAAGCATTGTCCAGCTACAGAAACCAGATCCCGGTAGGACTAAGCATTGTCCAGCTACAGAAACCAGATCCCGGTAGGAGCCATGTGTGGTATTACCATGATCCAATAAAAGACCTCTACTTTAAGAAAGAGAAACATCTGACGCCTCAAAAATAAAATGCTCATGGGCTGGTGTGTGGCATAGTGTGTAAGGCCACTGCCTGTGACGACGGCATCCCTCATGGGCACCAGCTTAAGTCCTGGCTGTTCCTCTTCCCATCTAGCTCCCTGCTAATGGTCTGGGAAAAGCAGCGCAAGATGGTCCAAGTACTTGGGTCCCTGTCATCCATATGGGAATACGGATGAAGCGCCTGGCTCCTGGCTCCTGGCTTCAGCCTGGCCCAGCCCTAGCCATGGCCATCTAGAGGATGAACCAGCCGATGGAAGATTCTGTGTGTGTGTGTGTGTGTGTGTGTGTTTCCCTCTCTGTCTGTAACTACCTCTCAAATAAATAAATTTTTCAGAGATTTCAGACAGATAAATAAACAAATGTTTTGAGAGAGACAGAGAGAAAGACAGGGAGATCTTCCATCTGCTGGTTCACTCCCCAAACGGCCACAGTGGCCTCAGCTGGGCTGATCTGAAGCCAGGAGCCAGGAGCTTCTTCCAGGTCTCCCATGTGGGTACAGGGGCCCAAGCACGTGGGCCATCTTCCATTGCTTTCCCAGGCCATAGCAAAGAACTGGATCAGAAGAGGAACAACCAGGACTTTAGCCAGCACTCATATGTCATGCCAGTGCCACAGGCAAAAGCTTAACCTACTATGCCACAGTGCTGGTCCCAATAAATAAATTTAAAAAATAAAAATAAAAAGCTCATATTTTACACCCCCAAAAACCCACATCCACGTGGATAAAGTTTAATGCCAAAGGCAAGCTAATAATGTCCCCAAATGGTAAAGAGAATTTATAGCTTAAAGACATCAGAGAGCTCCTAATGCATAGGTCTATGGACTCAGTAGGCTGAACTTGGAAGAAACGGCCGTTGTCCATCTTTACCATGAAAGAGACCATATCACTCCATTATTTGGCTCAATGCTTAGTCTACCTCCTTTTCCAATATATTCTCCTCTTGGACATAGCAGGCAGGCTAAACACTAAATACAGCAACTGATCAGTTAGCTTTGAAGACTGCCTTTTTTTTTTTTTAAAGATTTATTTATTTGAAAGTCAGAGTTACAGAGAGGGGGAGAGAAAGAGAGAGAGGTCTTCCATCCACTGGTTCACTACCCAAATGGCTGCAAAGGGCAGAGCTGCGCTGATCCAAAGCCAGCCAGGAGCTTCTTCCGGGTCTCCCACGTGGGTGCAGGAGCCCAAGCTCCTGGGCCATCTTCCACTGCTTTCCCAGGCCATAGCAGAGAGCTGGATGGAATCGAGCAGCTGGGACTCGAACCAGCGCTCATATGGGATGCTGGCATAGCAGGCAGCGGCTTTACACACTACACCACAGCGCTGGCCCCAAGGACCGCTGTTAAATCTTAGAGTCAGTCATTCAATGACCTCCATATGGCAAGAAAACACCAGAGGGAAAAATCGCTAAAGGAAATGAGGTAACAAATAGTGTGGCTGGCGCCGCGGCTCACTAGGCTAATCCTCCACCTGCGGCACCGGCATACCAGGTTCTAGTCCCGTCGGGGCGCCGGATTCTGTCCTTGCCCCTCTTCCAGGCCAGCTCTCTGCTGTGGCCCGGGGTGCAGTGGAGGATGGCCCAAGTGCTTGGGCCCTGCACCCACATGGGAGACCAGGATAAGCACCTGGCTCCTGGCTTCGGATCAGCGCGGTGCGCCAGCCGCAGGGGCCACTGGAGGGTGAACAAATGGAAAAAGGAAGACCTTTCTCTCTGTCTCTCTCTCTCACTGTCCACTCTGTCAAAAAAAAAAAAATGTGAGTTGTGAAATTCTATGCAAGAAGTACGGCATCATCATTTAGAAAAAAAAAAAGTAGGTTAAGGATATTTTAAGAAAGAATTTGATTTTAGTAACAGAATTTCCCCATCTTTCTTTCTGAAAATAGAAAGGAGTCTCACACTGAAATGGATATGTTCTTCCTCCAACATCAAGCTTTAGTCAAAATGTAAGTACCCTAACAAATTTGGAAGGTATATATTTAACTCACTGATTACGCAATTTTTAAAAAGATTTATTTCTTTATATTATTTTTTTTGAAACTCAGAGTTACAGAGAGGGTGAAGGGGGGAAGGAGGCGGTGAGAGGAAGGGGGTGAGGGGAGAGGAGGAGAGGGAGAGGGAGGTCTTCCACTGCTCATTCACTCCCCAGGTGGCCACAAAGGCCAGCACTGGGCCAGGCTGAAGCTAGAAGCTTCTTTCAGATCTCCCATGTGGGTGCAGAGGCCCAAACACAGGCCAACTTCCACTGCTTTCCTAGGCTACTAGCAGGGAGCGGAATGGAAGTGGAGCAGCCATGGCACAAATCGGTGCCCATATGGGATGCCAATGTCGCAGGTGGTGGCTTTACTCACTATGCCATAACGCCAGCCCCCATTACACAATTCTCAAAGCTGTTGGCACTTTCAAAATACATGTTCCTGCCACAAGTAATATACCTGGGAACTTCAAAAAGCTTTTGCAAAATAAAATATAGGTTTATCTTTGGTGCAAAAATTTATGAAATTTATAAAGGCGTTTTTCATGACACACTTATTTTTAAATGGACTTCTGAAGACCCCTCATATGTATGGATTTCAATGTTTTTGGCAAAAAAACCTTTTATTTTAATTCCATTTTTCGGTACTTTTTGAAATCCACTCATACTAAACATAGTACTAGGTAGCAATAGTATCCCAAATACAACTCCATTTCTCAATAACGTCATGATAAGCACATGAGCAATGAAATTGAGCAATAAACAGTGAACGGCTATCCAAAGAAGCTTACTGCTGAATTGATCTGACTTACGCACCACTAAATGCAAGCAAATCGGAAACATCTCTGAAACAGACGGGCCTTTTAATCAATGATCTTCCTCCCTCACTGGTAAACCTGGGGTTAAGACATTAGTGCAACTAATTGTTTCCATCTGTTTGACATTCTAATCTATTATAGCCCGTGAACCAGCCCCACAGAAAACTGAACTCTGCAAGCTTCCTAGAACTTGTCAATAAGCATGTCATTAACTGGCTCATGTTTTAGCACATCCGAGCAGCCTAAAACGCTGAGCGTATTCTTCAAGGAACTGCCAATCTCCAGGGGTCAAATAAACAATGGAAGAGGCTGGGTATGGTTATAAAAATAGATTCCTTTTCTCCAGAAGAAATGAGGAGAAAAATAGAGAAGGAGGGAAAAGAAACCAAGAAATAGCCAAGAAAAACAAAATTGTTGCAAAAGAAATTACAATGTAAAAAAGCATCATATTCTCTCCTCTCCTTCCTTCAGAATCATATCTTAAAACAACTAAACATTTTAAAAATGAAGTCTTCATATTATTTTTAAGACTTTTATTTACTTGAAAGAGCTATAGAAAAAGAGTTCCCATCTGCTGGTTCATTTCCCAAACGCCAAAGCCAGAAGCTGAGACTCAATCCAGATCTCCCAGGTGTACGTCGGGGGTCCACCTACTCGAGCCATCACCTGCTGCCTCCTGGTATCTACACGAGCAGGAAGCTGAAAGTAACAGCAGAGCCGGTATTTAACCCAGACGCACTGCGTGGGACTCAGGCATCTTAACCACTAGGCCAGAGGCCAAGCCTGCATCTGATATTTTTTTTAATGGGCAGTCAAAATGGCATGCATCACACAACGATTCTGCAGAGACATATTA